TCCTTGAGGAAAATGAAAAATGTATGTAAAGGTTCTTCATTCAGGGCACATACTTTTAAAATAAAGATCTTAGAATCCTTTAAGTTCTGTAAACAGTTAAGTTATGGTACTCTTCTAAATTTCTGTGACTGCTGTCTGACAACATTCCATAGATGCCAGTGTTCAACCTGGAAATAAGTTGAAAGTAATAACTAAAAATAAGAAATTAGATTAAAACAAATGTTATTGTTAATCCTTCCCTCACCCTTTGATCTAATAGGTTAAGGACATTTTGTACTTGTTCATTTTGTCTGATAATGGTTCTGAAGGCATTTACATTTTAGAATGGGGATTTAAAATATATATAAYAGCTGTTTTTTAAATAGAAAGTCTAATTATGCCCATGATTGCATTCATTTTTGATTAGTATGCATCCAAGYCCCTGCTCTCCATGTGCATTCAAGCTGAGCTGTGGTTCACTGGTGCTGGGATTTGAAGTACAAAGGAAATATTTGACAAAATGTACAGTTAGAGCAAAGCAAAAACACCCTCAAAATCCTGTGTGTACCTTCTTTTGTCTCTAAAAGGTTTTTTATTTTTTCCCTTATCCCCTTCTAGTTGCACACAGACCTGGACCCTGGCAGCAGCAAAATCAAGTATATCCTGTCGGGAGACGGAGCTGGCACCATCTTTGTGATCAACGACAAGACTGGGGACATCCACGCCATGAAGAGGCTGGACCGCGAGGAGAAGGCAGAGTACACGCTGACAGCCCAGGCGGTGGACAGGGACACCAACCAGCCCCTGGAACCTCCCTCAGAGTTCATCATTAAGGTGCAGGACATCAATGACAACCCCCCCGAGTTTGTGGAGGGTCCCTACCACGCCACGGTGCCCGAGATGTCGGTTGTAGGTAGGTATGTGCGCACACCCCGCTCTCACTGCTCCCAGCCTCSGCCCTGCCAGGAGGCCCTTGAGCTGCTGGTGAATAAGGGGGTATTTATTATGTTGTTAGCATTCATTTGCATATTTTCAAATCTTTTCTTGGCCGGAGCTTTCGTCTGCAGCACAATAGCCAAGTCCCTCAGTAGTGAGGAAATGACTAGCAGCTGTATTAATGTGTCTTTCTTTGTCCAACAACACTTTAATGGGCTAAATTTATATTTCCCTTCTGACTCTGTAGTTAGAGTATTGTTATTGAGAAGGATTTATCAAGATTTGCTCCAGCATGACGCTCTAATCCTATTGATATTTTGTTGATRTTTAATTATCTGTTTGTGTGTTTTCCTACACTTGCAGGGCATTGATACATACTTATTTGTTTTCCTCTAAGTGCAACTGTAATCAGGGAAAAAACATTGAAATGAAAAATGCCTTGTCTGGGAATTGATGGTTAGGCTCTAGAGTGGACTTAACCAATTAGCCACAGGATTTGCATGGATGATGGAAGGGAAAAGCAGGGAAAGCTGTGGAAAAAGATGGTGAAAAGGGAAATTAAGTGTGTGAAAGCAGAAAAGAGAAAGGAGAAGAACATAATCTTCTTAMTATATTTTACTTATATTTATTCATTTTGTCGGATTAGCGTGAATCTATTTCCTCGTGGATTAATATATTATAACTTTTTCTGCACAGTTTGGCCCTCGGTTTGTGTTTCTAGTGAAGGTCCTTACAGAGGCAGATGTTGGCACACTCAGGTCCCCACTCCCATGACACTCCCCAGGTGCAGCTGATCCTCAATGTCACTGCAGGAAAAGGGAAGCAAACCCACCAAACCAAGAGAATCCATTTCAGGGCAGCACAGGAATGCAGCATTAGCAACGACATCAAAACCTGGCCATGAAATAGAGAGGAAATTCTCATGTGTTTTAGTGGTAGGTTGAGGATAATGTGCTTTTCAGCGATTTGTCTGCATCTGTCAAAGCAAGGTAATTGAAGGAGTGCCAAGGCACTTTGTGAAATAAAACAGCACCCTATCACAAAGTTTCAAAAACACCATTCTCTCTTATTTCATTGAAAAGAGGYGGAATGTGAGGAGCCAGAGCCATCCTCTCACTCACAGCTCCGTGAGATGCTCCAAGGCATTGTCAAATCCGAGTGTGATGTGCTGACTGCATGGTCAGACCTGCGGCTTCATCTTTTAAATCAGCCCTTCTCCAACAGATTTTCATTTCTTCATTGCATCGAATTGCTGGTGCCAAAACTGATATGTGAGTTTTCAAGCCTGCATTTCAATTCTTTTGCTAAAACACAGCTTTTATAAGTTGAGTTACTTGGAATTATACAGCAGCACGAACGTAATATGGACCTGCTTTCAGAAGATAATTTCAGCAGGCTCTAGGTGAGCAAATGACTTCATTAAATACAATGAGAGTTAAAAAAACAAACAAAAAAAAACCCCAAAATAAAAACAAACCCCAAAAATTAAACAAATAACCCCTAACAAACCAAATCAAACAGCACCAAAACCAGCAAAAAAAACCCCAACCCAAAACAAATCAAACCAACCAAAAAAAAACCTCCCTAAAATAAACCCAAACACAAACACCACCCCCCCCAAAACCCCAAACAAACAAACAAAATAAAACCAATGTGGGAGAAGGAGGTAGGAAAACTGAATGCTGTTTTTCCTTAGGTGAATGGGATTTGTGTAGCATTCTAGGAAAATGAAAAGAAAGACACTAGCAGGAAAGGAAAAGATGGTTTCTTATCATGAAGCCTGCTATAAAAATAATTTATATCTCTGCATATTTATAATCTCTGATAAAGACATGGCTCCTMTCCAAGCAGTATTCACTGTAAAGAAGAGACCAAAAAAGCCCACAAAACCCCCAAAACTTTGACAGGAAACTAGTAAGGAGAYCAGATGAATAAAAAATCTAGTAAATTGTTAACATGAGGCTTAGAAGATGGCAAATGCAATGAGAGTAAGAGAATAAAAGAGAATAAAAGATGAAACATTAGTGAAAGAATAGGAAAGTGAAACAATGGAGAAARGGTGAAAGAGGAGGGGAAAATGTGAAGAAAGGTCATGAGAGATGAATTATAAGTTAAAACTTCATCTGGGAAAACTTTCAGGTAGAGGATTTTAGCAAAAATGATCAATGCCTGGATATGGTTTAGGGATAGAGAAAGGGCCTCCTGGAGGAAAATGTTCCACCTGTTCCTGGAGTTTGTTGGGGAAAGAGAAACAGTTCCTCACTGAGCTGCCTCTAAAATCACACAGTTCCTCATTCTTGCATGTTTTTGGGCTGCAGGGAAGGGATTTGTCCAAAGCAGCATGTTCTAGCACAAATGCAGGTCGAGATTTCCAGTAGATCATCTGAGAGGACTGGAGTTTATTACTGTAACTCAATGGTTTTGCACATTTATCCCTTAGGATCCCTGGCCCTTCCCTGTGTTTTACAATCCTGGGGTGCAGCTTTTCAAGCTGCTGCTCTGCAGAAGCACAAACATGCACTCCTGCTCTTTTGTTGAAAAACAAAACCTATTTCTCTGCTGTTGCTTCAAGACTCAGAGAATGTTTCTGGTTGCATTTCATGGGACATGGATGAGAGTAAAATCTCTGAAGTAGAGGCAGTGGACTTTGTGTCTTAATTTGTGATGGAATCAAGTGTCAAGCCTGGAAAGTGAAAGATGAGAGTGTTACCCTTCACTAATGTTGCTGTTACTATTTCCTTCTGCTTTCTCCACTCTTGACCCACAGGCAGCGCCATCAAGATTGGAAGGAAATGATTCTCTGTAAACGATTTCAAAATTTTTGAAGCTTTTTTTAGTCTTCCTGAGATTACATTAAACTCTCCATGATGTTTATAAGAAGACTCTCTCCTTTCAGAGTTCAAGGAATTTTTATTTTTTTTTCCCCCACTAGCAGTACTTCACTTCCATTATCCACTTAGTTAATTCCCCTAAAGAGATCTCCACCCACTGCCAATTTCAGCCTTGACACTGGTACAGTGCAAGCATTCCTAGGCAGTGTTCTCACCCAGGATGGAACAAAGTTCTGCTGAACCTTTTCTTTCCTCAAAACGCTTCTGTCAATTCTGCTCAGAAACAGAAGAGGAGCTCATATGCTCTCTATATATAGTGCTTATGTAATGAGGATGCAGTACAAGGCGTTTTATTTTTGGGCCTCTGGGGAAGGCAGTGCATGAAATACAGATGAAGGCTTCAACCTTTCATTGTTGGAAGGTTCTGACACAGTGAAGGTTTTCTAAGAGGGACATTAGACCTGGTCTTTTGTTCCTGGACAGAGGAGATGTGTTATAGGAATGTCGGGGGTTATTTTGCATGATTGTCTAGAATTGGGATGAAGTGTCTAGAAATGGAATTATGGGAATGGGAGAGCTGCCTTCAAACTGCCAGAGGGCAGGGCCAGATGGGAGATTGGGAAGGAATTGTTCCCTGTTTGGGTGGGCAGGCCCTGGCACAGGGTGCCCAGAGAAGCTGTGGCTGCCCCTGGATCCCTGGCAGTGCCCAAGGCCAGGCTGGACATTGGGGCTGGGAGCAGCCTGGGACAGTGGGAGCTGTCCCTGACAAGGCTGGGGTGGGATGGGATTTAAGGTCCCTTCCAACCCAAATCATGCTGGAGTTCTGTGATTCTAATAGAAGAGCCCCTTGATTGCATAAAAATGGGTTTAACCTTTTGGAAGCTGAGTTTGCATCAGCTGCACCATGGCAGGGGGTGTGCTGGGATCATCTTTAGGGTCCCTTCCATGCCATTTCTGTGATTTCATGTCCCTAAGTGCCAGCACAGGTGGGGCTGTGTGTGTGACCAGCGTGCCACAGCCATGGTTTGGTTTTGGTTCCGTGTTTCRGTGCTCTCTGGAAGATCCCGCTTTCCCGCTGACACAAAAGGGTTTTCATGGCTCTGCTCCCACTGCCTGGTGCACAGAGGATCAGAATTACCCGGAGCTCTCTCCGGGAGGAGCGCTGCTCACTTCTCAGCTGTCTCCACACAGCGCACTCCCACACGCACTCGCTGCTGGCCGCGTCACCGCGCTCACACTTATCCTGAAATCATTTCCTTCTCCCTTCGAGCAAAGACACCAGCATATTTCAGAAAAAAAAAAAATTAAAATAAAGTTTTGAGAACTAAATTGAATTTTTTTTAAAATGTAATTCCTACATCATCTACCATCGTAAGCCCTGCTCCCCAACTCCAAAAATGATGAATTTGCTTGTGAAAGCTAATAGTGAATGGAGAATATGTTCTTTGCTGAAACCATGCACTTTAATCTTTTAATTATGACATTAATTTTCTTAAAGAATTAAAGATCAAAAAGTGAAATCTATGGAATTACTTCGTTATAGCAAGCATTACATCTCACAAATAGGAAATAATTTAATTTTTTTTTCTGTAAATCTCATTTAATCACTTTTAAATGTAAAAGGGCACACTGGGGTAGAAACTCAGTTAAGACCTTAAAAAAGAAAAAAAGGATCCATCGAAGCTTCTGGGAGGAAGAACCCCAAGACTCTATTTTTTTTTCCCTTCCCATTTCTCTGTGAGCTCTGTATCTATGTCTGCAATGAAGACAGAATATTATGTAAACGAATGAGCAAGCTTAGAAGATCCATAAGGGTAATTGGAACCAGTTCTGTAACTTATTTAAAGAAAAAAAAAAAGAAAAAAAAAAA